CTGAGCATAGTAACCAATCAGCTTCTAACTTCAGCTTCTTCAATTAAGCTTTGGCACTAAAACCTGGAAGCTGATTGGTTCCTGCACAGAGCTGCACCAGATTATGGGTACAGCAGTTTTAGTAAATCTCCCTCATGACATCCTTGCCTGCCGCCCTATAGTAGAACTACTGCTACAGGGCTGCGCAAAATCCCGTATATATACATGTGATTTGCATGTCCAGTTAGGGGGCGCGCGTGCCGCCCTACCCGCGCCACCAGTGACGGCTAGGTTTGTCAATCACCGGGTGCTGGCCAGAAACTCCTAGCCGGCACCCAGCGATTGACAAGGAACAGTGACAGAGGAGAGGTCTGTATGTAAACAACACAGATCTCTCCCCTATCAGCAAGGACATGCTGCTGTGTATCTCACAGCACAGCATGTCTCCCTAGTAAAATACAGCACACAGTTAACACTTTGATTGCCCCAGATGTTAACCCCTTCCTGCCCAATGCCATTAATACAGCGTCAGTGCTTTTTATTTGACTTTCTTAAATGTTTTTACTGGACATGTTTAATAGCAAAAAGTCTAAAATGTTTTGTGTTTTTTCAAAATAGTCGGTCTATTTTTTGTTTATAGTACCAAAAAATTAAAACTGCAGAGGTGATCAAATACCATGGAAAGAGAGCTCTATTTGGGGGGAAAAAAGGACATGAATTTCATTTGGGTGCAGCGTTGCACGACCGTGTAATTATAAGTTAAAGTAACGCAGCGCTATATCGCAAACAATGGCCTGGTAGGGAAAGGAGGGGGTAAATCCTCGGGAGGGTGAAGGGTTAAAGTGTTCCTATGTTGTTATTTTTTTTTCTTTTTCAAGCTGGTTATTTGGATACCACCCTCATCCCTGAAAAACAGCCGTCCCCCTCTTTAGTCCCCTTCCGTGTGGCTCCTGCACTTCCGCTGTTTGCGTTCCACGGTTGCCCTTCCTGGTTGCCCTAGTGACGCTCAGCCAAATGATAGGACGATATTCAGTGACAAAGAGCCTTGTATTCCAGGGTGAGACCAGAGCCAACACTAGAGGGCGGTCGCTTACAAAGTGAGAGGAGGAGGTGTCCTCAGTTCTGGAGGGTGGCGGCCATTTTATTGAAGCCCAGAAGCAGTGATGAGTGGAAGATTTAAAACTGAATGAAGCTTCCTCGTGGAGAGTGTGTAGCCAGGGATTAAGAGGTAATAATGGCTTCTTATTATGAGAGGAGGGGGTCTCTGTGGAATGAATTGGGGTGGGGTGTCATGAGACTGGTGTCATGTCCTGTACACAGGGGGATGGTTTCATTGGGATTTGGTGAGAAAGGATATAAAAAATGATCCTCTTCTTCCTGAGGAAAGCAATATGACCTATTGTGGGGTGATGGGCTGCTGTCTGTGAGCTGAGCCATATTATATTAATATGAGGAATGACGGGTCCTTTTCATCTCCATATCTATGTCTGCGCTGATCCTGTTCTCCTCTCTTCATTTCTCTCTGCTCCGTACTTCTCCCTTTGTCTGTCTCTCTCGGATGAAGTTCACCCATGACATAATGGATCCCATAGATCTTCTCTACTTCTCCTGGTTTTAGGTTTCTACATTCTGAGACAAAGAAATACAAATAGCAAACTCCTCAAATCTGATCACCTGACCGAGGATGGCGGAGGAGCCGAGTCACATGACAGAGAGGATACTAAACCTCACCCTGGAGATCATCTACTTGGTGACCGGAGAGGTGAGGAGGATTCTGGGAGGTCTCATGACATCACTCTTATCTCTATTAATAAACACAGACCTGACCAGAGAGGTGAGGAGGATTCTGGGAGGTCACATGACATCACTCCTATCTCTATTAATAAAACACAGACCTGACCGAAGAGGTGAGGAGGATTCTGAGAGGTCACATGACATCACTCATCTCTATTAATAAAACACAGACCGGACCAGAGAGGAGAGGAGGATTCTGGGAGGTCACATGACATCACTCCTATCGCTATTGATAAAATACAGACCTGACCGGAGAGGTGAGGAGGATTTTGGGAAGTCACATGACATCAGTCTTATCTCTATTAATAAAACACAGACCTAACTGGAGAGGAGGATTCTGGGAGGTCACATGACATCACTCCTATCTCTATTAATAAAACACAGACCTGACCGTGGAGGTGAGGAGGATTCTGGGAGGTCACATGACGTCACTCTTAACTCTATTAATAAAACACAGACCTAACCGGAGAGGTGAGGAGGATTCTGGGAGGTCACATGACGTCACTCTTATCTCTATTAATAAAACACAGACCTGTCGTTCACTCTTGTATGGAGATGGGGGGTTTCTGTACTAGAAAAATGCTGATCTCCGCAAGGACACACAGAAAACAATTACTTACTATGTGACCTGTTCACACTTAAAGCAGAACTAAACCCTCCTCTCCTTTTCAGCCAAGGAAGCTGCCATCTTGGTCTCTGTTTGATCTGCAGTTTTCATGGTGCTGCACAAGTGATCAGTTTTGACTCTAGCCATTTGATGGTTTGACAGTTTGGATGAAAGCACAAGCAACTGTGACAGTTAGCTTTCCCGGCATGATGCCTCGACTGTAACTGTTTTTTTAAACCGTTAAATCAATGGGTTTAGTTCCACTTTCAATGCCTTCAGGGAAAGCTGCATTTGGGAATATGCAACATCAGCATTTTTCTGTCCTGTTGGTCTATGGGAGTGATGATGGTAGAAACAGCCAATTCACAAGACTACTAGCATGCGGGGGGGAAAAGAAGCGGCGGGGACCAGTCTTGCACTCGGGAGGGTCGCAAATTAGGTTAGTATATCTTTGCTTTCTAAGCCCTAGACAAAAAGAAGCATTTAACCCATGGCACAGCCCCACTACATGGGAAAATAATCATTTTGGCCAAAAGTGTTCTTAAAAGTGGTTGTAAAGGTTCTATGCATGAAGGTAAAAAAACCTTCTGTGTGCTACTCCCCCCCCCCCCCCCCCCCTCAATACCCTCCTGAGCCTCCTCTTGATCCAGTACTATGCATGGGTGCCTAGGCTGGGTCGGGTGTTTCTCTCCTTTATTGGTTGAGACACAGAAGCAGGAGCCATTGGCTGCCACTGCTTTCGATCACAACCAGTGAGCCAATGAGGAGAGAGCATGGAGCAGGGCCAAGCCACAGTTCTATGTGTCCTATGGACACATAGAGCAGGGCTCAGGAGCGAGCATGCTCCAGTGCCCCCATAGCAAGTGGCTTGCTATTGGAGGTACTGGTCAAGGGGGATGAGCCAGGATCGCTAGTGGCGGACTTGAGAAGAGGAAGATCAGGGCTGCTCTGTGCAAAACTGTTACACAGAGCAGGTAAATATGACATGTTCGTAATTTTTTTTTTTCACAAAAAAAACAAACATGTTATATCACTTTAAAGTGTTACTAAACTCCGGACCCTGCATTCACTATATATCCTCTCCCCAGACCCTCCCCACCCCGCAACTATATCCCTCTCTCATTCACTATATCCGCTCTCCCCCTGCAGACCCTGCATTCAGTATATCCGCTCTCCCCGGCTCTCCCCGGACCCTGCAATCACTATATCCGCTCTCCCCCATTCACTATATCCTCTCTCTCCTCCGGACCCCGCATTCACTCTCCCCGGACCCGCTCACTCCCTCTCTCCGGACCCTGCATTCACTATATCCGTCTCCCCCCCTGCATTCACTATATCCGTTCTCCCCCCCTGCATTCACTATATCCGCTCTCCCCGGACCCTGCATTCACTATATCTGGTCTCCCACAGTACACACAACATGGAAATGCAATTATTTTAGTAAATATAAACTGCTAAATCCCTTTTCTCATCAGCAGTATATAGCAGTCTTGTGACTTCAATCAGTATCAGTGTCCATCAGAGCACTGGTTAAAGTTTGTAGGAGGAGTTTTCATTCTTCTCTAGGAAGATGCAGGACCCCTGATCTCTGTCTGCACAGTGCTGATTTGCCCTGTACAGATCACATGCACTCTCCCAAAAATAAAAAAAACTTCTCTAGCAATACACACCAAACTGAGCATGTGCAGAGTGACTCCACACATATGTCTTATCAGGAGATAAGAGGGGGGCATTGGAGGAAGAGGAGAATTAGAGAAGACAGGATCAAACAGTGCCTTTTTATACAATGCAGAGGATTAACCCCTTAGGTTCCACAGTGGGTATACCCAGCATGCTTTACTGCATACACAGACTGATTTCACTGTTGTGGGTTTAGTAACACTTTAACTTCAACTTCCCGTGAAGAAAAATGCTCCACGAATGAAGGAAACAGACCTTTCAGCCAACTTTACTTTGTACACTGATTCACATAATCCATAGGGGTAAATGAAGAGTGATTATGTTCTTCCAAATTGTTTTAATTGTAAAAATTAATTGAATTATTGGCCTAAATTAGTGGTTATAACATAATAAATAAAGATAGATAGATAGATAGATAGATAGATAGATAGAGATATCTTTGTGGTATAAATAAAGTTATGGACATTTCAGGATATCTTTCGCACCTTGTATGGATTGCAACTTTAATGTACCTGAGAGAGCCCCATCCAGTGTTTTTTCTTTGTGTCGTGAAATTAGAGTGGTTTTTGGGACCTCCATTGATTTACTGTAGGATATAAATTATTTGTTTTATCTATTGATATGTATTTGCCGTACACAGGAATGCATTATAGTAAAGAAGCCATTTGATGATAACTCGACTATCACTGTACAATAGGCCGGACAGGACCGCTCTTGTTCTGGGAGGACGTCTTATGACGAAGTTTGTGATCTTGGCAACTTGCATTGATTTACTGTAGGATGGATAGTGTTGTTTCTATGTATTGATATGTATTTGTTAAACCACAGGAATGCGTTATAATGAAGAAACCATTTGATGATGACATGACTCGTGTGTCACAGCGTTGGAGAAGAATAAAGAATCCCATGATGGAGCTTCAAACATGCTCCCTGACACCTGAGAGAAAGCAGAAGATCCTAGGAGTCACCCAGAAGATCGCTGATCTGCTGACAGGAGAGGTGAGCGGTGCCGGGAATTCTGGGACATTCTTCAGTAACAGACAAGGGATGTGTCTGGATGGTGACTGTATCATTGTGTGTGTCAGGTTCCTATAAGATGTCAGGGTGTCACTGTCTATTTCTCCATGGAGGAGTGGGAGTATATAGAAGGACACAAGGATCTCTACAAGGACGTCATGATGGAGAACTGGCCGCCCCTCACATCACCGGGTAAGAGGAGACTTTCATTTCTTGTATTGAGGATCCACCTAGATACACACATCCTCTGATATAAAGACATAGAAACAATGTATTCAGTCAGTGTGTGTGTTTTCTGCAGATGGATCCATTAATGGGAACCCACCAGAGAGATGTCCCCGTCCTCTGTATTCCCAGGACTCCACACAGGAAGTCCATGAGATCCCTCAGGAGGATCAGGTAGGAGGAACTGAGGGTCCAAATGAAAACCTTTTCACCTCCTTATCTTTCAAATACCATGCTCTCTATCTCTGTTTGGCTACCCTTACTATGCACAATCCTCAACTGTATCTACGGGGGAAGCCATGGTTGTCACCCACACTGGACTAAAAATATTTGTTCATCTCCATTACATGGTGGCTGATAGGATTAATAATTTACATATGAAAGATAAAGCTGTTTTTTCTTTTTTTTTTTTTGTTTGTTGTTTATTTTATGTTAAAGCTGAGCTCCAGTCAAATCTGAAAAAAATAAAAGTCAGCAGCTAGAAAAACTGTAGCTGCTGACTTTTAAAAATCAGCCTTTCAACTGTCCCTTAATCCCTGTGCCGGCAAATTCACAGCCGGGTGCCCACTGCGCATGCACGGGCAGCGCTGCGCCTTGTGAATGGTTCTGTAGTGTTGTGGGACCTGTCACGTGTCCCAGAAGACTACGGGGAGGGAGGACAACTCCTGCTTTTGATCGCCTAGGTGGAAATGGGAGTGGGTACCTGTCAAAATTGGGTACCTGCTCTCCCCTGCACACTTACCCCTCCCCCAAAGGTGCCAATTCCTCACGGGGAGTGGAAGGACTGTTTTTTTTTTTTTTTTTTTACTTTATAAAGCAACTTTATTGAAAGAAAACATCAAGGATATAACATAAAGCGTATGTGTAACAAAAGAGAAATGAAGAGGGGGAAATAAAATAACAACACACTGCCCCCAACATAGGGCATATTAACATGATCACAAGCCACATGGTACATTGAAAGCAACTAGTATGTCATGGACATCGTCTCAGATCACATGTTCGTCACAGGGTCATTAGTACAATAGCATGGCAGACAGCACAAATACAAAACACGAACTATAGGTCAGGAAACAGGAGTATCGAGCAGGACACCACAATTCCAGGAAAATACGACAAGAACACAGGTTCGGGGTGGGGGGGGTTTGGGGTCAAAGCGACCTCCCCATCAGCAGTCACCATCCCATCCAACCAACTAAGTATTAGGAGAGGATAACCATGGGGGGACCAATCTTTAAAGTGGAACTTTGGGCTCACAGGAAGTGACAAGAACACTGCTATTCTGGCAAAATATTCTCTGGATGCCTCTGCACAGGATCCCACAGGACTCTGAGATAGATATAGTTACATAGTTGGTCTGGCTGAAATAAGACAAAAGTCCATCAAGTTCAATCATTAAAAATTAAAAAAGTTATAATCCTACACCCACAGTTCATCCAGAGGAAGGCAAAAAAAACCAGCAAAGCACAATCCAATTTGCTCCTGCAGGGGAAAAATTTCCTTCCTGATCCCCCGAGAGGCAATCGGATATTTCCTGGATCAACTTTACCTATAAATGTTATATCCAGTTATATTCTGTGTATTCAAGAAATAATCCAGGACTTTCCTACAGCAATCCACTGAGCTCGCCAGAACCAACTCTTGAGGGAGTCTATTCTACATGTTCACAGCTCTTACTGTGAAGAAACCTTTCCATCTTTTGGACATTAAATTTCTTTTCTTCCACTGAGGATCCTAATGAAAGCTAATGTTATGTGTCTTTTTCAGGGGGAAGATCTAAATGTGGTTGATGGTATAGAAAAGCCATATGTGGGGGCTGATGAACCATGCGAAGAAGAGGAGAACACTCCAGAGATAAGCACAGGTGAGGAATAAACACTAAATCCAGAGAAGAGTCCCAGATCCTCCTTGTTCAGTCACTACAACAATCTCTTCTTCTCCCCCCTCCTCTGTCAGTAGACAGTAATGGGGGGACAGTATGTGCCCAGTGCGGGAGTCAGGAGCCATCAGCATCTATTAGACTCTGGCTCTCCTCCTCACATCATGTCATTGAGATGTGACCAGTCTCCCCCCCCCAGCACACACTCTCTGGGGTCTCTCATACATCTCAGTACAGGGGGCTTCACTCTCATCTTTATTCACAGACCCCGGAGACACTCGGAGAGACATCCCAGATGAGGAGGAGAAAGAAGGACTTTTGAGGAATAAGAAGGCTGTGAAACTTCCTGTAGAGATCAGCACGGGTGAGTAATAAATACATTAATCCCTTCCTGCAGTAACTGGTCTTTTAAGGGGAATTTAATACTGATTGGCCAATCAGTGATCAAATGAACAGTAGTAAACAAGATATCACTTCCTGACATTATTATTATAATACAGGATTTATATAGCGCCAACAGTTCGCTCAGCACTGTACATTATAATGGGAGACAATACACGAGACAGTACAGTAACAATACAATTCAATACACGAGGGGTTCGAGGGCCCTGCTCCTTGGAGCTTACAATCTAGGAGGGAGGGGATAGTGGTACAGAAGGAAATAACTGTTGGGGGTGGAATGGTAGGAAGAGTGGAGGAGATCGGCTGTTAGGTGAGGGCGGGGTAGGCTTCTCTGAAGAGACAGGTTTTCAGAGTGCGCCTAAAGGTGAGGAGAGTAGGTGATAGTCTGATGGATTGGGGTAGGGAGTTCCAGAGGATGGGGGAAGCCCTGGAGACGGGCATGGGAGGAGGAGACCAGGAAACTAGAGAGTAGGAGGTCTTGTGAGGAGCGGAGAGTACGTTTTGGGTGGTATTTGGATACCAGATCGGTGATGTAGTTTGGGGCAGTGTTATGAACAGCTTTGTACGTCAATGTTAGCATTTTTTGAATTTTATCCGTTGGGCAATTGGAATCCAGTGGAGGGATTGGCAGAGGGGAGTGGGGGACACGGAGTGGTTAGTAAGGTGGATGAGTCTGGCCGCAGTATTCAGGATAGACTGAAGCTGGGATAGCCTGTGGTGACACTGTACTGCTAGGGTGACAGTATGTTAAAATAAATAAAGTAAAAATGATAATATAAAAAAAAAAAATTTTAAAATTATATTTTTTGGTTATAAACTAATTTGGGTTATTTTTTTTTTTATTAAAAAGATAGATGAATACATTTTTGCCCAGATTTATGAAGAAGGATTATTTATTTGCAAAATGTTATAAGAAAAACACCTTTTTTTCACAATTTTTGAACTTTTTCATTTATATAGCAAAAAAATTTAAATCCCAGCGGTGAATAAATACCACCAAAATACAGTTTTATCTGTCTCAAAAAATGCTAAAAAATTCATATGGGTACAGTGTTGCATGACCGCGGAATTGTCATTCAACGTGTGATTAGCACTGAAAGCTGAAAATTGGCCTGGACAGGAAGGGGGTGAAAGTGTTAAACAGAACTCAGATCTTTCTCATAATACATTTGCAGAGATGTGTGGATAATTTTAGTGCTAAGTGAACTGTGGAGCTTTACCATGTATACCACTTGACCTACGTAAGGTGTTACCCTGACCTGGGCATAAAGGGGGTATTCAGCACTGCGCTGCTTTAACTGACAATTCTGTGGTCATGCAACACTACACAAATGCAATTAATATAATTTGTTTTCACACAAATAGAGCTTTCTTTTGGTGGAATTTGAACACTGCTGGGGTTTTTTATTTTTTATTACACAAATGTAAAAAAAAAAAAAAATTTCTACTTTTGGTATAAAAACATATCCAATGAAAACAAAATAACATTTCTTTAGAAATTTAGGCCAAGATGTATTCTGCCTACATGTCTTTGGTAAAAAAATAAAAATTCCAATAAGTGTATAATAATTGGTTTGTGTGAAAGTTATAGCTATAGCTACAAATGATGGTTTATATACAAGAATTTAGCAGCTATGACACTATACTGGTAATGACAGTGATCAGCAACTTATAGTGAGACTGTGATAGTGTGGAGGGCAATCTGGCACTAGCTGCTGGGAAGTACACTACCTGACACCAATAGCGGCACTAATACAGTAATCAGTGCTATTACTGTACACTACTAATGACACTGGCTGGGAAGAGGTTAACATCTAGGGGCAATCAAAGGGTTAACTGTGTGCCTAACAAGTGTAAAGTGTGCTGTTTTTTACTATTCAATGTGACTGCTTTTACTTCCTGCTTTGCAGGGAGGGAAAAACAGCCACATCGCTGCACTCTGTAGAGAGCCCTGTGTTGTTTACCAACACAGGGTTCTCTTCTGTCATTTGCTCAGCTGACCAGTGGGACCTGTTCATAAATCAATAGCCGGGACCCGTGTGCTGCTTTTACTAATCAATGTGACTATTTTTATTCCCTGCTTTGCAGGGGGAGGGAAAAACAGCCACATCGCTGCACTCTGTAGAGAGCCCTGTGTTGTTTACCAACACAGGGTTCTCTTCTGTCATTTGCTCAGCTGACCAGTGGGACCTGTTCATAAATCAATAGCCGGGACCCGTGTGCTGCTTTTACTAATCAATGTGACTGTTTGACCAGTGGGCCCCGTTCATAAATCATTTAGTCAGAACCCGCTGATTTGCTTTTGCTGTAGAGAATGACAGCACAGCCAGGGTGGCGGGCACGTGTGCACCCCCTACCAGGAGATGCCAGATCATGTACATATATGTGATCCGGTGCAGTGGGCCCCGCTCTGCCCCAGTAAATCTGCAGTAGATGGTCCCTAAGAAGTTAAAGTGTATTTTTTTTTTTTCCAAAA